TTTTTTTTTTTTTTTTTTTATCGTAATGTTAAACACGTATAGGAAATATTTCAAAATCTGAATTGGTACGAGGAAAACGTGATCGTGTGAGAGATTAGTTTGGTGATCTGTTGTATTTATTTCTGGTGATTCAAAGTTACATCCCCTTCAAAATAGTCCAAAAATACTTCCTACACTCCGTAACTTAAGTACCGAGTGGCACTCAGAAACTGACTATAAATATAGGCTTTACCGTGGAATATGTTACTTTGATACCTTTGAGATTTTCACTTTTGTTTACGAGCGATGCCGCCGCTCGACCGTAGATAACAGTTTCATTCCCTTTGATGAGAACTTCGTGTAATCTGAAACAAGATCATCATGGGCAGAAATATGTACAACGTAGTTAGTATAAAACAAGTAGTCGCGCGTTCCGATACGATTACAATTATTAAGCTTCGTTCCCACAGAATCTAAAATTTTCTCTCAAGTGTTCATCGAATCCGTCACTACGTATGCGGATTATCTTTCAATTAATTATACATTAGCATATAGTTGATTGTGTTTTCAACTTGAGTTCAACTATGTTTTAGTTTCAATTTGACGAAAAATGAAGTGATGAGAAATCGATACAGTGAAGAGAATTGTATAGTGTTCACTTTAACACTATACAAACTCATTATTGTTGAAATAACGAATGTGTAGTCCCTATTCGTTATTATTGAAAATTTAATAATCGTTCGGTCACAGTTGGTAATACAGAAGCCAGCGACTCGGAGGAACTCCTTGGCGGTGTCTCGGCACCTCGTAGCGGTTCACCACCGGAATCCCAGCCAATTCTATTAGAAACAGAGACACCGCAGATCGCAGTCGACGCTTCTACCAGTCCTACGCCGGCCACCGGAAATGACGAGCAGCCGAGCGCTAGCACAACGAAGCAACTTAGTTTTGAAGTATGTATATTATTGAACTTCCTTCCCTTGTTGAAAAAGGGACAGTAGGATACGCATGCATATGAATATCATCATGTTGCGACTTGTTTCGACATTTCGAGAATTTCGCTCCAAATTAAGCTTTCAAGATTCGCAAGATCGTAATGTATTGATTTGAAATTTAAAATTTCGTCTTCACAGTGAGATGGATTTTAATTAATCTTTTATTGTTTCATAAAATAAAGGAATAGTAGAAAGATCGAGCTGCTAAGAAAAAAAAAAAAAAAACTTAATTTATTTCACAATTGTGAATAATCGAAATTGTGAATGACAGTTAAAGATGAAGCATTGAACGCCGTTCAGACCACGCTACATGTTCCAAATAATAAAATATCCTACTTCTCCCTACTGAGATACTTTACGTTACTTGAGTTTTTTCCCCCTTCCAAGTCGATGAATTTTACTTAGAAGATACTTGGCCCCGATTGCAGGAATTCGAATGCGACGTTTCGGTAGCGGAGGGCGACCGAAGACGGCAAGAATTCTCGTTTACCCTGTACGACTTCGACGGCCACGGGAAGATAACAAAGGACGACATAGCCGGCCTGGTTACTACCATTTACGATACCCTGGGCGCTTCTATCCAGGTACCTCCGTGCGGCAGTAAGACGATTAAGGTGAAATTGACTGTGTCGCCAGATCAGAGAGCCAGCCAGACGCGATCGGCCGGCGGCTGTTTGAACGCGTCCTCGCAGCCGGCTGCTGCCGCGAGTTTTTCCGGAAATTCGTCCTGCTGCCATTTGAAGCACGCGTCCTGCAACAATGCCGGGGCCCACACCGGTGCACACGGTTTACGTAGAGTTCCTAGAAGGAGAAGGGTGCCACCGCGACACCATTGCCAGGTAAGATTGATGCCCTTGCGAGAGGCGAGGATTCGAGACCTCGGGTTTTTATGGAGCCGCGTCTCTTCTTTCGTAACCCGGCAATTCTAGAAGCTAGAGGTGGATTTATCATTTCTGCCTTTCGAGATTTATCGCTCGCGGGGAGGAGGACT